GAAAACATTACAAGATACGTCATATAAAAGGCGAGTACGCGCAGAAACACACACACACACATACACACACAACGGCACGCACGCACAAACACACACACACACACATACACAACCACATGCACGCACAAACACACATACACACATACGCACATCACATGTCGTTCTAATCGACGACGGAACTACTGACACTCATTCGCATTCTCCTTTTCTGGCATTGCAATATTACGGGGATGTGACGACACGTCGAATGCATCCCATCACGTCTTTCAATCTTTTTCAATCGACAATTAGTGCTCGATACTTTGTGTAAGTACACGATGTGCACCTCTAATCCTAAAGGATCTCGCATCTGTTCCGACGAACATGAGAAAAAAAGGGAAGACCTTTGTAGTGTTTACGAAGCTGATGAAGCGATAATCAAAGGCAGAGACACTATCAAAGCGCGATCAAAATCATCGTCGCGAACAAAGAGCCAACAGATAACTGTAGCGCATTTTATCACCGTGTTTCATCGCAGGTGCTTTTTTTTAATAGGAGAATCTTACGGTAATGGCAGACCCAGATTACTCAAACTGCACAATTATATATAACGTATGACATTTTGTACATTTTTATTTTTATTGCACACCATATATGATTTTCCTTTTTACTTTATGCTACATTTATGCAAATTATCTCCAATTAAATGCAATCGCAAATACATTCCGCTTAAATCAGCACTTCCGCGTTGTCAAGAACGACATTAAAAATTTATCCTCGACGGGACAATCGTAATTTTTGTCTTGGGATTGTGGCCGTCACACGACGTGCGATCGATACCGATACCGAGTTTTACGTTTCGCAGTGTCAGCACGTACGTCACCCGTTGTGGGATCAGCTCCCGGAATTTTCTCAAAGAGCCGATTGCAATTCACGAGGCGATTGATTGAATTTCGTACTCGTACTCATGCGCATTCCATTCTTCCTCTGTGTGGGAGTCTGTGACGTGGGGTGTATTATTCAACTCTCCCACTAATTCAATCCTTTCGCTTCACATTATTATTGAATATACAAATAATAAATTCTCAAAAATAAATAATATAGCAAGGACAGACCAATAAAAGTGCAAACGCAGGTCGTTACGTGCAATAAAAACTTTTAAAACAATTATAATTATAAGGTTGAGAAGGTTATAATTATAAAATAATGATTCACATATCCCTCGTAGAACAGTTAAATGGCTCGTCATTGTCACTCGTGGATTGCTAGCCGTTTAACTTTTCTACAACAGACGTAAATCATTGCTCGATCTATGTTTGCTGAGGATGATTCCAAAGTGAGTCGAAACGTATGAAAATTTAGAATATTGCGATATTTTATAACATTATAACTTCTCAACCTTATAATTATAATTATTTTAAAAGTATTTTTATTGCGCGTAACGACCTGCGTTTGCACTCTCATTGGCCTGTCCTTGTTATATTAATTATTGTTATACGTAAAAATATTGTAGACACTAATCTGTCAATAAAAAGTAACAATGTGTTTATCAATTGTATTTATTGTATTTACATATCATTTAATTATCTGTGATTTCATTTTTTTTTATTCTCAATATGTAAATTTGTTGTGTTAAATTTATCAATGTATTGCCATGCTACATATACGAGTATGTGTCACTTATTCGCTAATCGCTTCTTCTAAAAATCGAAATATTTTTTAAATTTTCAAAGTTTAACGCTGACTTCTCTTCACATGCAGGAATCGGACAATAATAACGTCGCTATTATGCATACACGTTGCAAGCATAAGGTTTCTATAGTTTCAAGGAAGATAATGAGGAGAGAGAAAGATACACAATAATATGAAAAGCTTCTCTTCGCATCTTGCAACACTTTCCCTTAAAATGACAAATGATTAATTTTACAATCTGTACTAACATAAATATTTTCTTAAGCGCTAACTTCCTCTGCGCGATAAGAGAAAGCAGTGTTTGCTGGACTTGTCCGCTTTTGCATTTGCATCTTTCCTCAGACAAAGGATTAAACGCGATGCGGGATAAGGAATTTCATTTCGCAGAAGTTATCTACTTCGAACCGGCTATCTCCTCACATAATACTCACTCGTTCGTTAATTATGACTCATAATGAGATAATTCTTCGCGCTGCGATATGACTCTTGACGAATGCAAACCTTACGAGTTCGCGCGAAAATGGTAAAAGTGTGGAAAGTAGACGAAAATAGTTGAGAATAGATAATAAAATGAAAGTGAACGAAGTCTTTTGACGACAGAGTCTTGAGGAAGAAAATTCCTCAGCGAGGAAACTGGAAGTTCCTCAATAAATAAAGGAGAGAACTCACCTTGCGCTGCAGAACATTGATCTTGCGATCCTTGATGTCCATGTGATCCTTGATTTCTGTCAATTCAGTGTTTATGCGATTGCGCTCCTGTTGCGCCTGCATTGCCGCCTGCGTTGCCGCCTGCGTTTTCTTCTCAATCATTCGGTTCTTCTCCTCGAGTCGCTGTCGCATCTCCTCGACCTGCACATTTCGGAGCGGAGTGATAAAAACGAAATGTCACTGAGGATCGGTCGACGAGAGAAACCTCCAGGCGAGTTCAAATTGTGAATATTTAGCGCGCAATACGTACTACGCACGTACACGCGACGGAACACGAAGCGACATAAGTGAGGAAGAAAGGAAGGAGAGGAAAGGCGAGAGAAGCTCGACCTAGTTTTGCACGACAGCTTGGCCTTCCTCTCTTCGTCGGTGGCCTCTTCCGGAAACACGTGATTTGCCGTAGTTTTAACTGAACTCCTAGTCGTCGCGATTTATCAAACGGATGTGATCGTCGTTACTAAACTCATTTGGGAAGAATCCTTCTCGAAAAGTTCTTTCAAAGGTTTGAAAAACTTTTTTTAGTATTGTTGTTACTTTTTTTTATTAGTAACGAAAAGTAACGACGTTACATTTTCTTTAGTAACGAAACTGACTCCGTTACTCTTGTATCGTTACTTTTTATAGATCATGGACAATAAGATTATATAGTTAATAAACACAAAACTTTTTGCTTATTTTTGTTTCATTCACTATCCTCGCTTTAGCATAAGAGAACACTAAAAACTAAAATATCTATTATATAATAAAATATCACAGAAAGTGATTTATTGTGAAATATCATAGAATTAAACATAAGTATCTAAAATATTAATAAGTTTATTCATCGATTTGGATGAAATTAGAGTCATTCGATGCATTTTTGCACGAAATGAATGAATCTGATCAGATTTCCTTACGTCAATAATCATCAACTTTAACCATTAATCGCTCAGTTTACCGGGCAGAGCGACACTTATTTTTCTGCCAGATTCGTTCAAAAATACATCGAATGATTCTAATTTCATCAAAATTGGTGAGTAGGTCCGTCAATGAGTAACGATAACAAGTTACTTTTTACCGCAAATAACGCTACCAGAAACGCGTTACTTTTAAAAAGTAACTTTTCCAATATAGGATGTATAAAAGATATACAATTTGGAATAAAAAAAGAGGGGGAAAAGATGTTCAGTTTTTCATTATTAAATAAAGAGTAAAATTCCAAAAATGCATTTTGTCCAAAATTTCATTTTTTTTAGTTAGAAATGACGTAGTGTTCAGTGTTGAAAGATTCATTATAAGCTACTCTGAGATGTTCAGAGACACACACTTTATATAAATAGACTGCTGATTGAATGTGATAGAAAGAGATGAACCTGATTCCGAGCTTTTCCCTTGTTAATTCCCATATACGTATGTATGCGTCCTGTCTGTGTATCGCGTAAATTTACCTGAAAACACTAACGTTATTATTCGTGTGATTTATCTATGTGAGAGTAAGCGAACACAAATATGGCGCTGCCCAGCGTTGTCTTCAAATATGGAGACGAAGTCGTCTATATAGTATACAGAAGTCTGTGTTCAGAAAACATTTTTACATCATTAACTTATGTGGTGAAAAAAACATTGACATTTTGCAATGCATTATGTTTTTTTAACTAAAAACAAACAAAAATGCATTAACATTTTTAGCAATTGTTTAGCAATTTTGTTTAATATTTTACATTCTATTGATTAGTATATTGTTATTTTCTATAAAGTGCGTAATTTTCTTATGTATAGAGTTTCTTTTTCTCTCGTTTTTTTTAAATTACAAATTGTGAACAAAACGCATTTTGAAAGTATGTGCCTCAAAAATATTTCTTAGTTTTTACAAATTTTTAACTAATTCCAAATATAAGACAAAAATAAAATGTTAAAAATTTTTAATTGAAAATATAAAATAAGAACACGAGATTTTTGTACTTTTTATACTAAAAATTTGGCTTTCTCTCTTCGTAATTTTAAGTATCCTACAACCAGAAGATTACATCTTATAAGATGCTGGAACATTGAAAATCAAGAATTTGCTTTGCGAATTGAAAACAGGGATAAATTTGAATTAAAATAAAGTTTGCATCAAGAATTTTTCTTGTTCAATGATCGTTTTAGAATTCATGGAGTTGGCGTGAGATGGGTCAACATTTCTGATCACATCATTCAAATTCGATTTCGCAGCTTTGTCCTAGTTTTACTCAATGTTAGACCTTCAAAGAAATTTCTTAGCTCTCCGAGCTTGCTTTTAACTCTTAAAAGTATTAAAGGAGCATGTAAAGGCTGGGAAAATTAAACCAATGACTTCTTTATTTGAGGTAATGATCCTTCATCCGAGTTTCCGGATAACAGCATTAGGATGGTTAAGGAACTTTATTGCAACCACATGCTAGAGAACGTATTCGACAAATACCCGACATTTTAGAGATGCGGTCAGAAATTTGGTATCGATTTCGAGTCTCAGTTGTGTTCCAGTTTCGCATCAGTGTGAATAACAAAACCTGCGGTAAACTTGTTTACCGAAAACATATTTGGCAAATTTTTGTAAATTCACATATATTTTCTATCATAGTATTGAAAATTTTTTTGTTTCTGAAAGCAACGAAAAATGATTAACAAACTAGCAAATTTATTTCAAAATTCAAATTTATAAGTATAACAAATAGAATTACATCAGCATAATTAAACGAACTATTTCCTACACTTAAGAGAAAATTATTTTCTTAATAACACTACAATTATTTGTCTTAAATATGTCTTTAAACCTCTTTACAATTTTGCAATAAATTACAAAATTTAACTACATAAAAAATAATATACGTATGAGAATTTATGCCATTACATTTTGTAAATAATACAAAAAAAAATCAAAGTTACACTTACATCAGCTTGCAGCATATTATAATGTTCCTCCTTGGCGCAGAGTGATTCCTTGAGTACGGCGATGTGTCTTTGGTAATCCTGATGTTGCTCCTCGAGAGTCTTCATCTTTGCCGACATTGCCAACAGCTCTTGGTCTCGTCGCTGTACCTCCGTCCGGAGCTCGTCCAGCTGCGAAAAGATTCGTCGTCCAGGCGAGGATCAATCCCTGAGCTCCGTCCGTGTTGGCGATGACGACGACGACAACAACAGACGACGTAACGACGATGGCGACGAGCGACAGCGGTATTGAAACCGACTGTAGGCTCTTCACCATGACCGAGTACGACGACGATGATAACCTCATCTAATAAGGATCAGGCAAGGATGCGCGCACAAATGTCTTCTTTTAATGCAAAACCGTGGCTATAGGCTCGTTTGGATATTTCTAACTTAATTGATGACAATGAGTTCTAATTTAGCAAAGGCGACACAACTTTCAAAACAAAAAAATATCAAAAACTATCGAAACGCGTGATCGTAATTTATGAGTCTTTTTTATTAAAAAAAAAGATTTAAATATTTCCGATTTATCAAGTCCTTTAACTCCAAGAGTTAATTGAAAAAAAATTGTAAATCTAATTTATTCTTAAATTCAATAAAATAGTAGACAGTATTCTTCAATTTTTTTCGATAATATTACAATAACTTTAAAAAAGATCTTTTATGCACTTATACAACACACTTTTCGTGTCTGCATCGTGTTGCCGCATATCTTAAATTATTCCTGATCCAAATTGCGCGCGAAATTGGTTTCCGAGCGAACAGCCTTGCGGGATATAACCACGAAGTTATTTAATTGCCGTTGGACTTTGACACGAGCCGCTCTTGAGAAAGATCGAGATTACTTTAATTAAAATTACGTCGACGTAGATCGACTCTGCAAGAGGTTTTCACATCGAAAATCAAAAATCAAGTCGCATTGTCGTCCTACTCCATTCCATTGCTATTTTTAGTTCATTTATGCGCCTTTCTTGATTTCTAAAACGGATTAATAAAGAAGGCTAACATTCGAGCTATTATGATCATGACCTAATTACAAAGTCAAACAAGAAACTATGTGTGCGAGCCAGTTTCGGTCGAACCTAAATTTATAAGAACAATCCGATCTCTTGAACTTTGAGCTCAAATCCAAACTCTATTAATAAATTCTTAAACTTTTTACAGCATTGTTAATTGTCATTAATCGTAGTTAACTAACTTCCCTTTCTAGCTAAAACTTTCACAGCTAAAACTAATCTAAAGAGGAATGAAGTCTCGGGCTGAGTTAGTTAACTCACTGGAATTGATCGATTCCATTGACCAAACTGACTGCCTGGATCACAGACTTTCTTAGCGTAATAATTATTAAGAGAATCTAGTACAAAAGTAATAAAAAAAGTCAAGAAGGAAAAAAAACGTCGTCGTCGTACTCGGATAGGATTTGCACGAAGCATGCAGCGTAATTGAGGCCAGCGATACAAAATTACAAACAGTGTTTCTTAGGAGTGTAAAAGATGCACATGTATATATATATTTATTTATACGTATGGATTATGCACATTCGTATATAAGTAAATATATATGCACACACGTGTACACACACAGCAAAGTGTGCTGGAGACATATGACAGAAAGAGGTGTAATCTCACGCGCACGCTCGGGGAAGGGTAGAGATATTCGGGATATGTCACGTCGATATGTCTCTTTTATTTTCGTGTACGTACCTACGCTCGTCTACTCTGGGTTGCCGGCAGGCCGCGTGAAAAGACTCGTCGCGACATATCGTCAGAATGCGAGATCTCGCGACGATCTTAAAGCAGAGTCGTGATAAACGCAATACAGCTACTACTGACTAATCACTACGTACGTAAACGCGATGCGAGCGAGATCGCGATTCCACGAGGTCCTCTCTGAGAATTGCGTAGCTTCGAAGTTTCGACTTTGAGCCAAAGAAAATGTCGGCTTAATTAAAGAATAATTAGTGCTTGAAAACTTAAATTCTTTTTCCTATTCTAATTCCTTTATTGCGAATTTTAATGTAAGCTTTGCTTTCTAAACATGATTTTTTTAGATTGTAATTTTTACATATAAAAGGAAAGTAGCTGCCGTAACTAAAAATTATGTATATTTAGCTAAATGGTAGCTAAATGTAAAATTGCCGTAGTTTATAAATTTATAATAACGACAGCAAATACATTTTGACAAATCAAGATTAGCTATGACAAAGATATTTGTTTTTCATGCGATAAATTATATATCACTGCAATGTGTATTAGTAGCTTTTCAATATACGCTCTAATTTTTTTTAGCCAAACATATGTCATACATATAGTATAAATACAGAGTTATAATAATTCCTTTATTTTGCATGAAGATGATTTCAAACGTAAGAAAGTATCCAAATTAATTACGAGAATCTAATTCGCACGTAGCAAGGATAGAGGACCTCTGTCATGCGTCTCATACTATATCTAGTCAAGACACCAGATGAGAAACGAGCGAATCGTTATTTCTTGATTCAGATGCAAAGACATTTGAGAAATCTGCGTCTGCACTTGAGAGAAGAAATTCAAGACGTAAGTTCGCTCTCATCCAGCGTCAGCTATCGATTTAATCGACAGCGGCTATCATGGCATCCACGACGGTGGCAATATCGCCCCGCATCAATCATCAAAATCATCGAAGTGACGGAGGGTGCGTACTCCCTCGCCCCGACGACGATGACGTCGATGATTATCTACGATGATTATCTACGGTGTCACTAGGTCGCACACACGCACGCACACGCACACAACGATTCTGTCGAATGATGTTGACGAAAGTGAACGAAAGTCCTTTGTTTCTTTCGCTCTTCCGACCGACATGGGATGGATGAGTTTAAATGATGGCGAGTCTGGGAGAGTAACGGTCTTCCTCTAAGAAATCATTGTCTAGAGACCGGTGTGTAAGCTTTTTTTTTTCTTTTTACATGAGATGCGTGAAATGATGATTGCGAAACAGTCGGTCAACGATTCACGCCAATAGGAAGACAGAGTTTGAGAAAGAGACAGAGACAGAAAGAGATATACAGAATAACAAGTACAGTGGCTACGATATACATCGAAACACTCCGTTACGTAATACGGTAATCATGTAGATGGAAACAGAGAGGGAAGGATGGTGGTGATTGTGGTGGCGGTGATGATGATGGCTCGGAAGAGCTTCTTGGGCGGGTGAAGAATTTCCTTACCTCCTCAGAAAGCTAGAATATTGGGGCACCACGTTTAATAATGCTTCGCTCACCACAAAGGCCGTCCAACTCCGCCATCCCTCTTCCGAACGTATGTCCGCTCGTTTTTATGTCCTTATCTTAGATGTCTCGAAATCTACGAGCTTAATTATAATGACAGACTCCTCGGCGAATTCGGAGTCAATTTTTCGTACGAGAAAAATTTCAAAGCACATATTTTTATATGCAATGTTTTAATATTTTTATCGAATAATTAAGTAATTAAATCTCTAATTATGGAATTGAGACAGTTAAGCTCACTTGAATTTAAATATGTAATGGATTTTTATTATACGAAGGAGTCTGGAAATTTATATTTTGAAAAAAATTTTTCATCTTTTTATATCAATACTACATGACTCATTCCAAGAAAAGAAAAATCTGCTTCGAATTAGTTAAAGAGTCTATTGTTAAAATTAAGATCGAAGAGGTTTTGGGACATACCCATATTATAATTCAATATCTTAATTAATTAAAGACCATAGTGAGCTTATTATTTTTTATCTTAACTGAATTTTTAAATCTGTATTTAATTATTTTAGTAATATTGGCGATAAGAAAATATTCATTTCGACTATCAGAAGAGTTCTGCGGAATTGGGGACTGCCATCCATTGCTGACTTATCGCTAACTTAGCTCTATCTTAATTGTTAGTTGTACCTTAAGCTCTATTGGGCAAGAGGTGGCATTTATTTCATCTACGAGTCACGCGATTAAATTCATTACTTTACCTTTTTTATCACTTATATTCTATAATGAAAACAAACTTGGATCGGAAAGCCGCGCAAAATTAATCTACGTCAATTTCGTTTTCAATTAATGTAACTCAATTATTGATGCACGAAATGAGAGCAGATCCTTATAGAACAATACATTTATTTTATATCTAACAATAGCATGAAAACTATTTTAAATTCCTAATAATGCAAATAGATAAAATCGATACTATGGATAATAATTCTATTTGCAACGACAATTTCTTACTTTGATTTTAAATTACAATTAAATTTTCTTGCATTTTTCCAACAATTAATCAAGACTACATTCATTACATTTTTTATGATGTGAAATTTAAGTTTTAAATTCTCTATGCACGCAAACATTCTCAAGATAGACTCTAAACTCTTTGGACATAAACCAAAGGACTGCAGTCATAAAAAATACTTTCTTTCGACTGAAAAAATTTTTCAACGCGACAGGACTCGCAGATAAACTAAATGATCCTCTCCGTCTCACTCTCGTAGACGAAATGCCGAATTAGCGGGCTCTCCCGATAGGTAATCCGACGTTCGTGGACCTTCGCGGACAATGATCGTCATCCTGATGTCCACGTATGTCTTATTCGCCGAACGGGACGAACGGAGCTGACAGCTAGATGACAGATGCAGATTCTCTGCGCGCGCGTGCAGCATGCATATAGCGTCTTAAGAGTGAGGCCGGCTGGGTGTTAAAGAGGTTTGATAATATGGGCGGGGGGGGATGGCATGCTTCTTTCTAATTGCGACACCAATCCGGTCTCTATGGATGAACAAGAAGTAAAGGAGATAATGCAAGAGAGGGATCACGAAACAATGACGGCGGATAATTCGGCGGATTTTGTATACTTGCCGATGATGAGTGCGAGGCAAATCGCACGTGATCAAGGCACGTGATCGCCCTCGCATTAAAATGGCGCGCTCTCTCGGCGCGACCACTTTTTCAGATCTTCGCGTAATTGACGACGATGATCAAAACAATCACGATACCGCGAGTAAACAGATGAAACGGAAAAAGATGACGCGATCTCACCGGGAGAGCTTAGACGATCATTCAACGACGATAAAGGCGATGTTGGACGAGCGAGCTTATGGCGGCTCCTCGCGACTGTCTCTCTCTCTCTCTCTCTCTCTCTCTCTCTCTCTCTCTCTCTCTCCCTCTCTCTCCCTCCTCTTTTAATTAATAAAAAAACCTTCTAAATTTATATCACAATTAATATGTATTTAGTAGAAGATTTTTATAATTTTGTTTCAAGTATGTTTTACAATAATTTGTGATCAAAATAATTATATAAGATATATAATTAAGAGATTAATTCCTAATGACTTGATTAACGTCATGAAAGAACAGCGTCGCAAGGAGCCTCGATGAATAGCCCGTAAAATGTCGATGATGAGGATGACGACGATGACGACGTGAACGATAATGAACATCTGCTGCGATGACTTACACTACAACCACGTAATTCCTAACGATTCATGCAACATGCACTGGACCTAAGTCCCCATGCGAGTTGCACGACTCGAAGAGAGACGATGATCATCATGGGAGCTACCGAACAATCTATCTCGTGCGATGATTTTTGCGCGTATGTGTTTCATGTACAAGTCTGCTTCGACTAATTTGTGATTCAATGACTGTGAAGAGATGAGCACGAACCCGCGATGATCAGAGAGAATGATTTGTAGCGACTCGAAGATCCATATTCGATCTAATGACATGACAATCGCGAAGTTGATGAAATTACTAATGACTATAATACTTTTGTATAAGATTGACTGCCAGTAGTCGAGAACTGCAATTATTCAATTTTGAGGAATGAAGATGAAGCAAAGAATGTGAAATGCGTGACATAATGATTGATATTTGATTGATCGTTTTGTGTCGCGTGGCAGATATGCATATGAAATTGTAAATTCTTTTGAAATAGGAAATTATTGAATAAGGAAAGGATGAGGAAAGAATACTCATATGTAAACATTGTGAACTGTGAAAAAACATAGGAAAATGTGATTTTCTTTCTTTCTCTCTTCTTTTTTTTGTCATGATCGACTGTTCATGTTAACATAATTATCTTCGTCGATGTTGTTGTAATTTTGATTAGTTACAAAAAAACATAAAAATAATTCGAATGTCCGATAATTTTGTCGATATGATTTGATCGTTTGAAGATGTGATGCTAATAAAATAAAAATATAAACTTGCGACGAAAATGGTTTACCAATATTCGACTCGTATGTTGAGATTTTTGCGTTTGGTATGCAAAATGCAGTCGTCTCATCTGCGAGAAGTCAACCTGCGCAAACAAATTCACATCCACCATTTAACTCTTTTATAAATTTAATTTAATTTTCTTCGTCCTTTCGAGACGAATGTAAGCAAAGAAAAATGTCCTTTGAGCGCAAAAGCGTTTGCCATAATCCCATTTCTAAACTGCCATCTTGAAATCATCATGTTGCTAGCAAAGCCATAAGATGGGGGAATTACATAATTCCAATTAAAATTATATTCTAAAGTAAATAAATGTTTATAAAATAAATATACGCACTTATAATATTTTTACATAACGCAAAACGTGTTTAGAAGAAAACCGCCGTTTGAAAGAATTTAGTGTAATATCAATTACATTATATTATTTTTTACAAATTTTAATTAAGGTTGATTTAGAATAAAACGAGCTGCGATGGATGCATCGTTGTAATGGCCAAAATAAATTGGCCAAAAAAAAAAAGAAAAAGAACAAAAAAAAATCAATGATCTCTCTTCTCCTCTGTGCGAGATCTATTGCAAATCCAATGAATCCTCGTATCAGCCACCAGGGTGTCGAATCTGCTGAGGATTTTAAGGAGGATCGGCTTTACGGCACGCACCGCGGAAACAGAGGTTGGCAACGCGCGAAAACAAATTCTCCTCCTCAAGTTTTTTCTTCATCACATTATTATTATCATCAGCAGCAGCAGCATGGTTATAACAGTTTTCAATATTATAATTCCGGTTTTTTATTATCACGAGAGTGTATCTCGCCCGTCTCCTCAGTTTAGGAGGCGCAGTCCGAAGAGGATCGTTCGTTTAAAGCTTTAAAGATGAGGCTGACCTTGCGAGCGTGTGAAATTCAGAACGTTCGTCTTTCGCACGAGTAAAATCGCGAAACGTCGCCGAGGCACCGGGTAACATATCTGGATTGTCGAAAGAAGAGGATCGGTTCCCCTTGATATTGTATTCCCGGATGTCGATCGTCGCGGTTTTATCCTGGATACAATAGAATAGGCAGAATTGGCTATCTTACAATAAGTCATTACTTCAGCCTTAAGTTTTAAGCTGTAAGAAATTGACCAATCATAGTCGATTATTCTTCTCACATTCGATTGGTCAATTTCTTACGGCTTAAGACTTAAAGCTTAGGTAATGGTTTATTGTGGAAAACCCAGAAGGGATGAAGAACGGATCAGTCACGGTTATACCCAGCTTGACCAGTAAGTGCATTTCGCAATCGTTGCAATTCGAGTTCGACCGAATTGCGATTAATTAATCGACGCCCTGGTGTTCTCATCTCCGCGCGGACGTGGCGATCGCCGTGTGTCGGACTCTCGCGTGTTACACCCGGATGTATCGCGACACGACGTCTTACGATCTAGTATACACAGAGAATAGAAAAATAAGGATTGTCACAACCTCAGAACGCGCGCACAGCCTCGGCGAGCGGAAGGATCTTTGGAAACATTTTGAGCGTGGTACGTTCGGAACAGAATGAGAGCTTCTTGACAATCGCTTGCGTTAGAAGCACTCAACTCGATCTGATACATTATACATTATGCAGCTATGGCTAAGTCAGGTATAACCTGTAACATGCCCCAAACATTTCGGGAGGAAAGAGAAGGTTGATTGGAGAAAGGAGTGCATGGGATTAAATCGCTGTGAGCTACGAAAATATTATTTTCGGCGGAAGCTTCAAGTATACTTTTCTTTTTCTTCTTACCTACACACGCATTGTACACGCATACGCATCTTTACATATATATATATATGCAAATGTGAATACAGGATCTTCATATACATATATATTTACAGATGCATGTGTATGCATATTAATATATATATTTATATATAATAGACCTTTCTGCGTGCCATTCGAATAATTTCTCTCTTTTTTGGATAATCACTTCTTTCATCTTCGATTTCTCGCTGCGTGTTCGCAAACAAGATCAACATTCATATAATAGACATTTTAGGATTTCAACAGTATTCTCATAAATTCACGATCTAAAGCCTATAAGAATTTTAGGAGTACGCATGGTTTTTTTAACTGTGTCGTAATAGAAGCTACCGAAATATACACGACTTTCTCATTGACTTTCTCACTGCGAAATCCAGAATCCTCGTGACAAGGCTCCCTCTTGTCTCGCGCTTCTTCAACGCTTTTCCATACATCACCAGTATCTAATAAATGTTCTTGGATAACCAGAATAATTAGTTCTTCGGACATTTGGGTATATTTAAAAGAAAAAGTATCCAAAATATCTATTAGAATATTTCCAATATAATATCTTGTAATAACTAGAATTTTAGATGTTCACCATATAACGTAACTGTTATTCGCTTTCTTTTACTGTGTCAAAAATATAATAATAATGTAAATATTATTATATAATTCGTATTACTTTATACTGCTTTCTTAAGAATTTTGAAAGACGCGATTTAAAATTCTATTAAATAAATTATGTAAATTTTTTTTAGATATTTTTATTTAAAAAATGTTACTTTAACGTTACTTGAACTATTAGCAATATACGCTTTTATTCATGTTTCGTATTCAAGGAAGCAAAGAAATCTGAGTATCGCTGGTCTCTTGATATCCAAGAACATGTCTGACTACATATGTCCTATTCCACTTTCTCCGCGAACCGCGTCGCGGGAGCAACTAGCTTTCTTCTTTACTGCCCTCTGGAGGGCTATTACTGAAAGTTAGCGGAAGATCAAAGATCGTCCGAAAGCTTATCACGCTATAAACACAGAGGGATTTTTCGAACGACGCATGAATGTCTGTGCATCTACAGGGTGCAACCTGGGAATTCCTCGCATTAGAAATGAATCGCGTGTTGCGCGGTCTCGAAACAGAGTTCGCCGAAGAAAACTTCACTTCGAGGAAGTGATAACTTCAGACCTAACACGCACGGATTGCGTCTGTTCTTTCAGCGAAGCTATTTAATTCTTCAGTAAATTTCTTAAGTTAGCCTTTCATTGACTTAAGAATTATCAGCTGTCATAAAATATCTACGTCAATATTGTGCGCACAAGCGGGTTTTTATTGACAGATACGTTGGGACTTCTCGGAACTTCTGAAATCTCGCGACTTAAAACCTTATAAAATATGAAAATATATAATATTAATGCAGTATACTTATATATAACTTTGATTTTAACATTCCGTTTTAAGATACGTTGTAATGTTAGATATACTTTGGCTGGTGATGGTTCGGTAACTTTTAATTATTAAAAATTCTTATCATCAAAAATTCCGTTACTGACGCTATTTTTGAATTCTGTCGAAATTCCGTTTCATCCGCGAAACGCGCGTACTTTTCCATCGCGAGGCGTCTCACGTAACGCTCTGCACTTACACCTGTCACTTAGGATTCACCCTGTTTACCTATGATATCTAAGTACAATTGAATCAAAAAATAGAGAACTCTTCTGCGTTTCAGGATGTCGCGTGACGAGAAAAAAAGATGTCAAAGTGGTAAAGAAAAACAGGTACGCTTTAAAGTATTGTATGGTGGTGCACGTGCGATCGACGAGAGTCAGTGAGAAGTAAAACGACATTGGTCGGTTCCGCAGGGTTGAACTATGGGATACACTTACGATGATATCGCTTATTTTACGTTATTCTCAATCCACTAATGATTCCTAGGGTTCCTTCAGGAAGGAAGACGAGTTAGTAACAGT